TGTACTGCCGGATCACCACCAGAAGGACCCCACTGGGTCTTCTTCAGACTTTCGTGGGATATCCATGGTATTTACACCGAATAAATCCAATGATATGTAATAATTAATATATGATATAATGGATATATGAATCATGGCATGGATGGATGAATGCTATGTGAAGAAAGTCGTGTGTTTAAACCTTCTGTATCCATTATAGAAGGATGTGGCAGATTTACTTTCAGATTTACTTTTATATCTGGGAATGAAGCACCTGTTTAATCCTTGTATCTATACACTGTAATTATAAATATACAATAAAAATGTATTACTAAGGTGATAAAAATGCTTATGTATTAATGTATAATTTAATATGTTTTGTCAAAATAATCATGTATTTATTCACATAAATCTATTGTAATTTCAGAAAAGTTGACATTTTTTAAGAGCACTCTATTAAAGAGAACGGAGACCCAACAGGAGTTGAGAGAGGCAGAGGCACGACGTAACGACTCGGACGTGAAAACTCAGATGCGGGAATGCCAGGAGGCTGAAGAACAACTTCATTTAATTGAAGAAAAATTAGGTAAATATCTATAATGTTGTTTTTTTAGCCAGTTGTTTTATATAATTCAATTTTTTTAAACTGATTCATTTTTGCCCTTGTTTACTAACTGAGCTTAACCCTTTCTCTGCGTGCCCCCGATACTACCAAGGATAATTAGAAGTCGTTGAACTGCGTGCCCCGGTACTACTGGGCATGAAAATAATTCTTTTTAAAATTTTTTTTCGTACTGCAGGTACCCTCTATAGTTGTTTCTCTGAACTAGAGGTGATTTCTACTGATGGAGTAATGACTAATTGTTGCGAAGACTCATCTTACAGCGATTTTTTGGAATTTTTTTTTTCACAATTCTGCTGACAAACATGGATTTTTGTCTGTTTTTGAATAGGATGATGAAAATAATTCAAATTATTGATTTTATTTTTATTCATTTTATGTATCTTCACCATTATCCAGTGAAAAAAAACAGCATCCAATAAGAATTTCTATCTTTTTTTTTCAGATTTATGAAAAAGGGGATTTCCAATATGGTCCAAAGGTCTACATGACCACCTAATTAAAAATTGCAATTTAAATTTTTGCCCTTAGGCCAGCCTCTTTTTGACCCTAACACACAAAAACAATTTCAAAATAACCTCTTTTAGTATTTTTTTTTTAACCATTTATTTCAAAATATAACCACCAGGGTTGTATTTTTTACCATGCACATAATCTGTGTTCTTCAAAGGAAACAACAGTCCCTAAAGGCTGTTTTCTACTAGGTGAATTAATTTACACAAATAAAATGCGCATTCACATATCACAGTTTTTCACTTCAGCAAAATCAGTAGTTCGAACTGTTTCTACTTCTTGCAAAGCGAAAACATGCACAAACAATCAGATCTCAGGAAACGAACCAACACTTTTGATTTACGCATATAAATTTGCCTAGTGGAAAACAGGCTTTAAGACTGCGCTGTAACATGTATTCACACAAAGAAATCAACTTGTAATTTTTCTGTGGTTCACCACAACACACAGTAGTTATAATGATTTTTTTGACTGACTGCACTATGGTTATTGTAAATCCATTTATGTCTGCTACATTAAAATGATATCAACAAATGTATGCGTAATATGATACTTAATTATAATTATATGCAGACATGTGTTGTCTTAATTATTAACAAGCAAGTTGGTTTTTTTTATGAGTCATTAAACACAATGTTGACTCCACTATGAGGTGGAGTTAAATGTGTTCGGAACAAAGCGCGAAGGAGAAAACACAAAATAGTTAGTTAGAAAAAAAGACATTCTATCTATAAAACAATCTGTATAAGGTTAAATGAAGGTTGTATAATAGGGAAGTTCTAAAACTAGCATTGAATTCTAAAACTTCACTATTCAGTTGGGGATTCAAGGATGGGCTGCCCCCTCCCCCCTCTAAATTTTTCAAAGTTGTGTAAAAAGTGGAGAAAAAAAAACGAATATTATATTCTGAGTGTGCCATTTCCGGCCATCTAGAGGTGCCATAATCATCAGTTTTCTTACTTTATCCCCACCATGGTGAGGCCAAGGTAGTTATTGACCCCCTAAATGTGAAAGTCATTCCCAGGCACCCCTCTATTCATTTTTGAAATACAAGCATAATAACAATTTGGATGCCAAAATTATATATAAGGTGTAACAAGAGTGTCCAACAATCCCCCTCAAACGCTTTATGATAATATCAGTTAGTTAAGATGGGGAAATCTAGTTTCTTTTGACTGATAATAAAAAAAAAAAAATTACATTGCTTACAAGAAACACTAATTCAGTATAATTGAAAACATTTCTTATTTTATATATTCTGTCTGTATATGTTACCTTGTTATTTGGTATCTTGCGAATATTCAATGAAGGAAGTATTTTTACTTCTAATAACCTTATATCTTTCAATTGAATTACTATTTTTATTTCACTTATAGGTATGACATCATCAAATAGGTTGGGATTGAATTCACGTGGACGTCAGTCACCTAGAGGTAGACCAGACACACCAAACAGGCAAGAACCTACACAAAGAAGACTGAATAATACCCCGCCTACGAAGGATGCCGTTCATGTGAGAAGCTCAGGACGGCGTTCTGCTGGTGCACCAATAGGAACACCTCCAGAAAGTAAAAGACGCAGGTGATTGTTTCACCAAATGAAATTTTTGGCTGAAGCTTTTTAAGATAGGCTGATCTACATCCAAGCTTCTTGGCTAAGAGATGTTTTACAATTTCATTTACATATCCTAATTTTTTTTTTTTAATCAATTTAACGTAATTAAACATCTGGAAAGACCGAACAATTGTAAACATCTTAAAATAAGTAAAGATGACATATTTTTATGCCATATTGGTTATAAATTTGCGTTCATCTTTTCAAACTTGTTGAAAATATAAACCTCCTTAGCTATCCAACTTGTTATTGGCTGTGTTTCCGTGTCATTACAATATATTTGTATATATCATTAATACATTAAAAAAAATGAAATGAATTTTTAATACTCAATAAATTTGATCTTGTATCCAAATTTAATTTTTGTAATGAAGTGTACAATACACATTGTGATCTGAGTTTCCTCATATTGATTGAATTTTTTAGATTTCATGGAAGTTGTTTAATTGATGTTCAAATGTTGAAAACATTGTTAATTACATTTTTAAAATGTGATGATTTTTCAGTGTAGCTAATAAAGAATAAATTAATATGTTGGGATCTTGGGTATTTTAATGCTTTGATGTGAAAGAATCAGAATTGTTTAATTATTCAATTTTTAGTGCGAGTGATTCTCTAGACAGGTTGTTTAACACTCTGTTTTTTTTTTTCCAAGACTGCCATGGCATCTGAATATATGGAATTCAAATGTGTTATTAATATTTTCAAAAGTGGTTTGTCGGCTACATGTTTGGCTGAAATTATTCTAAAAGTTTTTTTTCTCTTTTGCTTAAAATTGAGATGTACATAAATGACATTCATTTCACAAAATCGTTGTGAAATTGTTATTGTATGACCATAGTTAACAGGTTAGCAATGATTCAATTTTTCTAGAGTATAACACCATTTTGCCTCCTATTATGCCTGTATGTAGTCATTATTGCTTGTGTACTTCAAAAATTGAAGCTATGCTTGCTGACGTGCCTGCTACATATGCTACTAAAGTTGTCATGCTTCACATGTACAGAATAAGTTATTCTTACAGAACACAATGACAGTTAAAGGGCAAATAACTATTTTTGTTGTAGAATATACATAGTAAGATCAATAATCTAGATAACGAAGTTTTAACATCTTTGTTACAAAATCATGATTACAGTAATGTTCTTGTTTGCAATTTATATGTTGTTTCTATATCAGACAGGTCTAGTAAATCAAGTATTGTGCTTCTCAAGACATCTAGAGTTATTGGCTGCTTTTTATTGCATGTAATCGTGCTGCAGAAACCTTCAGCCTGGTGCATGTTGTACTAAGCTTGGTTTCCATACAGTCGCTGCACACCATCGCCGACTGCTTTCGGTGATGCTGATTGGTTAAGCTCAGTTTTCATACAATCGCTACACTGTTTTCGCTGCAATTCTTGCACTGCATGCTGGTCGCGATGTAATCGGGAACGCTCCCTGATTCAGCTGACCAATCAGCGTGGCCAAAGAAGTCGGCGATAGCATGTAGCGAAACCAGGCTTCAGTCAAATTGGGGAACCTTCCGAATTGCGTCGGGGACTGCTAGCATTAAGCTTGGTTTCCATACAATCGCTACACTGTCGCTACAGATTTTTTTTTTTTTTTGCTGCACTCCTTGCACTGCATAGCTAGCTGGATTCATCTTACCAACCAACGTCGCCAAAAGAGTCTGCGATAACGTGTAGTGATTTTTATGGAAACCAAGGCTGTACAAAGATTGCACTGAAAACACTGTAGCGACAGTGTAGCGATTTTAAGGAAACCAAGCGAATCATCATCAAAAATTATCTGTCTCATGAAATCGTGTTTGTTGCCGGGTTTCATACTTGATATAGGCCTACATAACTCGTAGAGTGTTTGAATGCTAAAAGTCGCCTTCATAGATAGTCCTAGGTAAATATTTTGACTTTTGTTCCAGTGTGAATTATCATAGACTTCAGTTTAGATAACAATGAATTAGCTTAATGGACCTTTCCGGAGTGTCAATCAAACAACTAACCAATCAAAACAGGACCAGGAATACGCGCGCGTCTCAGACACACGTGTTTGCGTATGTTTTAACGCTGTCGTTTTGTGGAACCTTAGTAACAATATCCAAGGGCAGGGCTTAGCGGAAAGGTTCATTGTGAATGTAGGCGGTGCCCAATCTTTGTAAATCTAATAGTTGTAAATATTGTTGATTTTATGTCACTATGACAATAGATGTTGATTATAGTGTTTTCACAACTTTTGGTACTACAGTACAGTAGTAATAAATTACACATAAGAAATTAACAGATAAGTTTGTCTTTATTTGTTTTGGAATTACATGTTATTTTACAGTAATCCTACTACCTTGACAAAATACAGTATAATCATGATTCCATTAATTTATGATAAAATGCGCGATATATCTAAGAAAATGTTTTATAGGTTGGATACGCTTATGTTGCACAAGCCCTACCAAATATAGTCAAAGGTCGAGTTTTTGTTTAGCAAAACTATATTTTCTGGAGAAGCCCTGACATACTTGCATATTTTGAAAATTGCACTTCCGAAGCTTAGTAATAATTACATATATATTAACAATATGTATTTTGGACAAGTGGTTGTCATTTTACCATAAAAAAAACACATGGGTTGAGTTAAAATTAGCCATAATTACAAACCAGCAAATCGATCTTGATTTCTAATTGTCGCTGTGCTTGCTTGTTGAGCTTCACTAGATCTATATTAAAGTATTACAAAATCATTCTAGTGGTGGCGGCAACAGAGTCAATTGCGATTCATTCACTCAACTTTATTTTAATACCGTAAACCTCGAATTGAAGCCCTGGACTTCTTTTTCTTTCTTTTTTTTTTTTTTGCGAAATTAACTTTCTCTCCCACGGATGGGGAGCCCTTACCCTCACTGGTGCCAACCCGGCCGATAATTTCATAGATTTAAATTGCTTAAGAACGTATCTATCTACAGTAGTACTTCCATTTTTCAATGTCATCATTTAGCATTTCAGTAATTTCTAGTCTCTGCAGCATGGTATATTGCGGTATCACCTGTGTATTGATACTTTATATTACATAAATAATAATAATGCTATTTAAATCATTTACAAAAAGTGAAAAAGCAGTGGCCCAAGTAATGAACTTCGCAGCTCACCAAAATGTACGTTCTTTTTCTCTAATTTAGCCTCATCGACAACAGTAATCAGTTCCTTGTTTGACACAATGATAGGTATGATTCAAACCAAGACAACGTCATATTATCAAGCCGAAGTTTACCTCATACAGTATATGCTTGTCTCTATCAATATAATTCGTCCGCTGTTCGGTTACATAAATTAAAGATTTACTTAGGCAACTTCATTGATCTGACACCGACTTATTGAACACTACATATAAGGTGTGTAAACAGTTACAAACTTGGAACATGCTTTGCCCATGAAAACCATGTACAGTATGTTTAAAATTTAATTATAAACAAGTCATGCCTTAAACTATTGTTTTATTTGCATATTCTAATCGATCTTTATGTTCTATATATTTACAAAACATGATAATTACTATACATTTTTATTTGTTAACATAATTTAGTAAAATTCAATTTTACGTTTGAACATCACTCTCCATTTTAATATTTGAGGGCCCGCCCCTAAATATAAGCAACCCTAAATTGGAAAGATCACTCTACAAAAATCTGTTAACATACATTAATCAAAATAACAGAACACGTTGATTAATGTATAAACTGGTCTCTCAGCTCATGTGAATGTGAGGCGCCTGATAGGCTACGCGCAGTAGGCCTATGTGTCCAATCGCAGAATGAAACACAGGATTTCAGCAGGCATTGACGTCTAAATGCAAGACTGTATAGGCCTGACATGAGAGCCAAAAAAGTAATTACAGACAATTATTTTCTTTAGGTGGGAGAGAGCGGCCGCGGGCCCCGGGGCGTCTTCGCTGCCCGGCCCATTGGTTGGGGGTTTGTTAACGGATTAGAGGACTATTAATCGATTATAGAGTGCCTTGTTTCACCAGGTCATGAAAAATGAAGTATAAGAAATATGGAAAGTAAAAGCTATCCTTCCTTTTATTAAAACGTGCTGAAAAGATTTAAAACATGGGTATCAAAGCTTACAGTGGCGGATCCAGGAATTTGAAATACAGGAGGCCCAGAGAAAAACTTTCACAGATAGATGGACGGTTTATCTACCTACCTTAGCTCCACCATGGTTGGATTTGGGATGATGTACGAAAATTTATGATTATGGCACCTCTGGACGACCGGAAATGGCACTCTTAGACTAAAATTTGAGTAGAATTTTCTTTTTTCTCAATTTTTGTTAAATTTTGAAAAATTTAGGAGGTGGGGGGCCAGGCCTCCCCTTAAATCCACCACGGGTTTAATATATTATTTCAGTATTTATTTGATAATCGAATCTCTTTTAGGTCTATTCGTATTTTCTAACTTGTATGTATATTATATTGACGATGTTAAGGGTCAAAGCCTTTTAAAATTATTAATTCATTCATAATTCATAATTAATTTACTATTTGATACATTTTAAACAAACTCAAGAGTGGAAGAAGCCATAAAAATATTCATGAAAGCATTGGAAACGATTAGTTACCAGCGTTCATCGATAAACGGTCAGTTTATTTGCAATTCTAGCGGGAAAAAACAGATGACTGATACTGGATGAATGTATACGTCTAATCATTTTTATTTATTTATTTTCTTTTATTATTTCTTACCTAGTTATCCCGGGCCCCTGGCGAGCCCGGGCTCCGGGGCTCTTGCCCCGGTTGCCCCGGCCTCTTGGCGCCAATGGGTGGTTGATTTTGGAAAAGGCCGTTTGTAACACCACAGACACGACTAATGTACTCGTCTACCTCTGCTACTATCAAAAGTTTTCAATAGTTATGTATCAATCATTTCTAATGTATTAGTCTATTAGCTACTTTTTTCAAATTGAATCATTCTAATAATAATAATAATAAACTCTAGTGGCCTAATTAGTATTTTAGGCTTGTTCTAGCGGCCGAATCATGCAATTGCTGGTCGGAAATGACAAGTAGGCCACAATTCAAGACCCTGCACTTGAGGACCCTGCACTTGATCGTGGAGCAACTGTCAACAAGACGATCAATACTATGGTGGTGGTAAGAAAATAACTAATAAAAGTTTTACACCCCCTCCCCCAAAACAAAAAAAAATTGCTATCATAGGCCTACAAAATGGTGAAATGATATACATTACAGACGAATGTGTGTGTGCACTCCACCACTCCTGCCACTGTTCTCTGCATTTATATTTATAAGAATAAAAATATGGTCCTTCGATTAGGTTAAAAAGAATCATAGATTTTTACCTTCCATAATTCAGTAATACTATTGAACTTAAGTTTGATTAGGGTGATATATTAATGTTTAATAGTAATACAGATTCAAATCAGGTGTCATTGTAACTTTTATGAAGATAACTTAAATGCAGTCTTTTGATAGGTATGTTGGCCAATATAGCAGGTTGAAAATAGCAAATAAGAGTGGAAAGATTATCCTAGCAGAATAATCAAGATGTCTAGCTGTAATGTTGCGAAACCTTTTAAAGCGAATATCATTGACTGGGCGTGTCACTATCTTTGATTCTTGAACTTCGTTTTGATGGTGACAGGCTTGAAGTTCGTAATTGTTGCCGTTGTCTTGGTTGTTTTTGTCGTCTCCCCTTTGCCTATTTGTCTGTTCAAGAAGAAAGAGAATATTTATGATAGAAAAGACATCAAAGAAGTATATTCAGAAAACATTATGGTGCTGCTGAAGATGAACATTTCGTGTGCCCAAAAAAAAATAATTAAATATTGGCATATTGTGTCAAAATATTAAAATGTAATATGCGTGTGAATGTATATAATAATAATAATAATAATAATAATAATAATAATAATAATAATAATAATAATAATAATAATAATAATAAATAATTATATTAATAATAATAATAACTTTGCTGGTAAATAAATAATAACTTTATAGAGATGTACACATTTATAACAGTGGCACACACAATCAAGTGGTAGTACGTTCACAATAAAACATTAAATGAACACAGTACATTCGTACATTAAGACAAAGTACAGTATAAAAACATACAATTCATAAAATACAGTAAAATGACAATTTTTTAAGCTGGACATTAAAAACAAGCATTAAAAATAAAAAATTACTAATATGTAAAAAATAAAATTACTAGATGTGATGTGCAAAAATGATGTAAATACAGGTTTCCCTTTTTTCTCAGGTTACGTTTTTTTTTCTCTTTTAAACTTTTGAAGTTTAATTAGAGAAAATACAGCTACCTTAGTTTGATATTTACCAGTTTGGTGACGTAAACAGGAGCATCTTGCTGTTTAGTCCTGCGTTCCTCCTGGGATGAGTCAGTATTTCAAATTTTGTAGTTTAATTAAACATTGCAAATAATAAATTAACTCTCAAACCAAACCAGTTAAATTAACCTTTATCTACCAAACTGTTGCTTGTCCAGTGGTGGATCTAGAATTTAGCAATGGGGGGGGGGGGTGGATAATGGGAGGAGGTGAGAAGGCACGAGCGGGGTGGTTTTGGGAGGGGCATCTCCTCCCATTTTAGATTTTTTTTGGAATTAGTAGACTGCTAGACGATCGTAGGTGGCATCTAAAAAGAAGTAAGCTTAAAATAGAAAGTGTATGTACACGAAGAAGCACACAAACAAGACGAGTGAGCATTATTTTATTTTTCACGGTAAACGAATAGGGGTGGCTAGCCACTCTTTCCCCCCACCCCCTAGATCCGCCACTGTTGTCATCTGTATTATGAAAAGTGTTTGTTTTTGTGACATGATTATTTGCATGTTGTTTATTACTGCAAATGTATCTGTTATAGTGTGGCTCTGGTAGTAACGATAATAATAGTGGCGGCGGTATTTAGCAGGTTAGTAGCCGCGGTAGCAGTCCTAATAATGTTTTTGAGCTAGTAGTAGTAGTAGTGCTACTGCAGTATTTATCGATTTATGTTTTTGTTTCATTACCATTGGCAATTGTTATCGTTTTCTTATTGCTATTGTTGTTATTATTATTATTATTATTATTATTATTATTATTATTATTATTATTATCATTATTATTATTATTATTATTGTCACCATCATCATCGTCATCAGAACCATCATCGTCATCATCAGCAGTAGTAGGTCTATTAGTATTTGCTGATGTGGCGGTGTTAGGGAGATTTCGCAATCTTACTAACATGATAGTGAATACGAATATGCCTACGTCATTATCATTATCGTAATTCATGCCTAAAAACATTCTGTACGAGAATGTGATCCTTGATTCATGCAAAAGGCATGAATCGCCTACGTAACGTTGGTTGTCACAGATATGCCACTGTAAGCGCTGTCTAAAAATATGATGACGTAACTTATTAGTTATCGTTTATGTAAGCTTGCGAAAACTCCCTCTTGTTATGCGGCGGTGGCGGCGGTAACGGGTGATACAAATAATATTAATAAATCGATAGTCCTATTATCAGAAAGTTGGAAAATAGGTAGTACTATATTCAACTAGGTGGCACTAGTAAAGAAAAATAGATGGGTAAATGTCTACAGAAAAACAAATACAACTATTATTAGGATCAATAATGTCATAATCATTACCGGTATATAATAATATATATATATGTTATATTTAAATCATTGTATTGATTATATTGTTTAATAAATCTAATAAGTGTGTGTATATTTCTATATATTTCACTAGCATATAATATGACTTGCATATAATAGGGTGAATAGTTCGAAAATAATAATAATATTATACACATGAAATTTACCGTTTACAATATGTTCTAAATTATCGCGAGATCATTTATAGTTTATTTTCAGTAAACATATATGTATATATACATGCATATACTATAATGTAGATGCATCATTCTTATACACATCTAGATGTGTATAAGAGACAGACTTTATAGTGTACACTGCCCCCGACCCGGCAAACGCCTATCCACACATTTTTTTATGTCCTTTTCATAATTTTGAAGTTTTATTTAATATCACTTTATTGCAAACAACAATAAGGAAACGTAAAATAAAATCCTAGATCATGGCCCAGATGAGGCAAAGAGAAACAGAGAACAACAATGAGAAAAGGACAAAAATCAGTACCGTAATTTAAAAAAAAACTTATCAGAAATTATAACAATCCTATTTTAGTCAGTTATAAGATATGAAGGATCCGTGTATGAACATTCATATGTTTCTCGTTCCAACTATGTCGTTATCGGTTCCTGTGGGTTATATGTTTTTCATACGTAATTGTATATCACATATAGACCGTTAATAATTTAAAGCTTACCTCTAGTACAAGAAAGTAGTTGGCTAGGGCGTACTCGAAAAGACACAAGAAGACGAAGCATAGACACATTGCCATCCATATGTCAATAGCCTGCAAATAATTTCGGTAAAAAAAAATTCATGCTTCGACCAAAATTCATTGGTAGGCCATTATTAAAAGATAGTAGGCTCTATCATGAACAAACTTTTAAACAGACCTACCAATAATTTAATGAACAATGTGAACTGTTGCTGATTTTACTTTTTAATACTGTATATCATAAACAAAGTTAGAACAACCCTCTCGCAGCCTAATTTTCTGTAGGGCCTAGGCTCCAGCTGGCCAATTTTTATTAGATTTAGGCTGCTTTTCTTTTAAGATATCGACATATCTGTTTGATTAAACAAAAATACAAGATAGAGGTGGCTCCAAATATTGCCGACAGAGGTACCGACAAAGGTCCGAATGGTGACCCCTGGTGGGTTTAAGAGGGAGAAATGCTATAGGTTAGCATGATAACAATTGTACATTTAGACATCAATAATATGAATCAGCAAATTTATAAGTTTAGTTCATCGCTGCCAAAGGCGACGGACGCGGGGACGGACGACATTGGGGGAGGGATGATTTTCCGAAGTGAGAGGAGGGAGGACATTTTTCTCCTTTTGACTTCTTGCTGGTGCTACACGATACTCACCTTCGCGTATGTAACAGCAGGAAGAGTTTCCTGGATACCAGCCGTCATAGTTGTTACGGTTAATACCGTGGTGATCCCAAGCGCCACACGTGCTGGTGCAGCTCGTGCGTCAATCCAAAATGACAGCCACGAGATTACTACGAGTAGTATACTCGGAATATACACCTGAAGGATATAGGACTGCATCTGACGACTGAGATGAAAGTTTACAATGGCGCAGCTAAAATCACCTACGAAAAAATATCACCAGATTTAGTCAGCTCAACTATCATTTTACTTGGTCTAAAAACAAATAAATACAGTAACAATTATTTTTGTAGTATCAATGACGTAAACGTATACTATCATTATCATTTCGGTAAGTTTATCCTTTATGCTGGTTTATAAACAAAAATATAAAGATAAAAATATAATTCAAATATAGTATTTCTTGTAGAGAAATATGAAAAGGTCTAGTTCATGCTAATTTTGTTAGTGGAAGTTTTAAAACAAGTAAAGTTAACACGTGTGTTTGGGACAAGCGCGTATTCCTGGCCTTTTTGATTGGTTATTTGTTTTGTTTAAGTGAGACTCCGGAAAGCTGCATTTAATTGTAGCAGTTGTCTCAATTGCTTTCTTTATAGGGATTGTTTTAGCAGTCACGTGCGCCATTCTCTTGGTCATGCCACGCAAATTAAGTGATGTTTGTAAATTAGTTTTAGTATGGCCGATTATTCTGATATAGTCTAGGAATTATTGATAGGAATTTCCACAATAAACAGTTAAATTATTTATGTTCCATTATTATTAAATAGACCTATTATTCCTTTGTTTCCGTGCCTTTTTCAAAATATATTGCAAAGAAAGTACAGTACATTCAATTTGTATTGTAATAAACGGGTGATTGTACTGTATCACAATGTACATTATGTTGAATTTGTTGTGGTACCGTAATTGTATTTATTCATCAGGGCAAATTTTACCGTATGTTGTTAGGCCTAAGTGTTGTACATGGCATGTGAAATGCTGTTAAATAGGATTTTCATCATATCCATGCTACGAAGGGTAGTGTACATTCGGATTCGGATTAAATTTAGATCTTGCTTTAAAAAAATTTGAACTATACTTTTATACAAGTGAGTTTCGGTTTTTATATAGTTTTCTACCGTTGTCAGTCTTCTATTGCTCGTTGTTTTGTATGTATCAATTTCAATTGATAAAAATTATGGTCTGTTTTTTGGAAAAAACAAAACAAAACAAAACAAAACAAAAACTAAGTGCATAATTACCTGTTATAAAAGATTTGACACATGAGTCGTTCGTAGTTGCTTTGTGTAGCATGAACCGAGGGATTGCCATATCCGTCTCCACTGTAAATGGATTATCGTGGCGCCATTTAAATATCAGTTCTTTGGTCGTGTACCCATCTGTCAAATGGAATATACACACATAATAACACAGTAATACAAGATACATAGCATCTTCATTATCATGAAAAACAACACAGGAAGTTTATCTCTGCAGCAAACACAAACATTATACGAATAAGAATAGTGATAAATATATGGTCGGGACCAACTAAACAACAGAAATTCTAATAACCGTATTTATTCGAATAACCGTATTTATTTGGGCGTTTATTGTTAAGAAAGGTTTCTCAGGGGGCGTTTATTCTAGGGGACGTTTATTTATTTTTTGGTGTAAAATGGATACGTATATACTCAAATAAACGCCTGTTTATTTCACTGTAAATGTGAAATGCGGAATGCAGCATAGAGTGTGTTGACAATGATGTTGCTTCCATTAGCGATGCGTTTATTCGAATACATATAAAATTGATTTTACAGTATAATTATATTTCAATTTTAAAGTACAGTACTACTTTTAAAAGACAACTATGATGAGTTGATGTGGTATATGCATGGAGTTGTATTATCATGTTTTAGAAAATGTGTAAAATCAATTCGTCCGAAATAAGTACAGTAGCACCTTCTTTAGACTAACGAAATTTATTGAGACACAGGCGCCTTCGCTAGCTTGAGCTAACTTTATCAGCTGAATGAAGTAAAAAAACACAGGATCAAACTGTTCATTTAAGTTAAATAGTCGAATTCAAGACCGTCTGCTCCCAGACGAACGTTTAATTTCAACTGTGTAAATGCGAGCTCATCTGAATGCAAAGCTAATTATCAATATTCAGTATCTCGTGATATTGATGCTATTATGGATGAGTGAGTGGCTACACAACGCTGATATTTTTTTAAACCAATAAATATTTCCAAGAATTTTAATCAACAGTTTAAAATCGGGTCGCAAATTGTTGTTACAAAATCCATTTATATTGAATAAATTTTAAATCTATCACAATAACGATTTGAATGAAAATAATTTAATTCAATGCTTATTTGGTAATTATGCAGTAACTGATGTTGTGTTTATAAATAAATGAATTTCTGTATCTTTCTATCATTAAGATCAATTTACCAGAATACCAATTACCCTAAAATGCATTTTTTATTGAAATTATGCAGTAATTGAATATTCCGATAGATAATGAATGTCTCTATATTTTATAATTTTTTTACACCAATTTCCAATAAGCTTTGTAATTATTTAGATTACTATTCTAGAATCAACTGAATTCCATTCCTTCACCATCATTTAAAACATATTATTGTTATTATTTTTCTTGGAATTAGGTGATAATATAGATACATAAAAATCAACTGCCAAAGGCATCGGTACAAATTAAAGTTATTTAATAATGTGCATTTATGTTTTAAAGATCCTCATCTGTGTTGAGTTTTGTAGGCCGAAGTATCTTTGAAATAATCAAAGAGCATGCAGAGACCAATCGATAAAGCATGGAATTGTGCTAGATGTTTTGAGTAAATGTTGTTGAAGGAAGCATAGACTTGTATGAGCTCTTATATCTGAGATCTTTTGAGAGAAAATAGAACTATCGATATCTAAGCAGTGGCGGATCCAGGAATTTTAAAAAGAAGGTGCCCAGGAAGGGACTTCTACAGATAGGTGGGACCACCGACCTCAGACCTACCATTGTTGGGGCTGAGGTAAGAAAAATTATGATGGCCAGAAATAGCACTCTCAGACGTAAACTTGAATATCATTTTTTTTCTCCATTCTATTTATAATTTGGAAAATGATTCCTGGCATTTGCATGCATTAAACCAAAAACCATGAAATTGTAAAAATTGTATATTGTCATATTATAGCTACATGTGAGGCTACAGTTGAAATTGTAAAATAGCACTGAACAATCAAAACGTAAATGCTCGATTGCTTCAAGTCTTGTATGCCTGTTTTTAATTATTAACAATAACAACAATACATAGGGCGACTGTAACATCAATCTGCATCATGGAGTGTACTAACCGGCATTAAATCACCTAAACTACCGTACTGTATAAACCAATTTATTTTGTTTCTTTGAAATTCATGTACAGTATATGTATTGTACTATCTTAAAACGAAGTCTACGCTATCTTGAAAAGAAGCCTATGGTCTTCTTTTCGAGATAGGCTTCTTTTCGAGGCTAATTCTGCAAACTGAAGAGGTGGGCTTCAATTCGAGATGGGCTTTTTCTTGAGATTAAGCCTAATGGGCTTCAATTCGAGGTTTTACTGTATCTATACACAAAATCAACATTTAAATATAATTGAAGTAATGTTCCGTCTAATGTTTCGACTAATGCTTTAGCAGGTCGGTAGGACGTGTTGTCGGACTATCACCTTCTAGCAAT